GGAGAGGAGAGGAGAGGAGAGGAGAGGAGAGGAGAGGAGAGGAGAGGGAGAGGGAGATGGAGAGGGAGAGGAGAGGGAGAGGTCCTGTGGGGTTGGGAACTGATCCAGAGCTGTCATGGCAGCAGTGGAGAAACTCCAGGGCGTTCTGCTAAGGGGAGGGAAGGATGCAAAGGGAAGGATGCAAAGAGAAGGATGCAAAGGGAAGGACCCCAGAGCACCCCCTGAGCCCACGTTTCCAGCCCTACCTCCCCGTGGCCCCCAAAGGGGAGCTCCTCCAGCAGCCCCTCTCTCAGCTGCTCTGGCAAAGCTGCTGCTGGCCAGGCCAGTGCCAGGCTGGTGCTGCTGGTTGGCCAAGACCTGGCTCTCCTGCTCTGTGGGGCTGTGGCTCAGGTCTGACCCATCATCTCCCTGCTCCCACGTGCCCTGACAAGCCCAGGTGTCCCACAGCCAGAGCATGGCTTGCAAATTGCTGCTGACCATCCCCACCTCTGTGTCCACCTTCCCAGGTAGTGTCACCACCCTGGCTGGTCCCACGTATCCCATCCCTGGTTCCACACTGGGACACAGATGGGTATGGACAGGTGATGGTCCTTGAACTGAAGGATCTGCTGGGCTTCCTAAATCTTGTGACTCTGCAAAGGTCTGGGTGTGTTTCTGACCTGCAAACAAGGGCCTTTTGTGTCCTTCTCATGGTTTATGCTGCCACCTCCTCTCCCCTCACAGGCCACGACATTAATGGAGCTCTGGAACCATCTAACATTGACACCAGCATCCTGGAGGAGTACATCAGCAAGGAGGACTCACCAGATATGTAAGTGCTTCCCCTGCTCCCCAGCAGGAACCAGTGTCAACTCCTGTTTTCTGTGGAGAGCTGGTGACCAGCCCTGCAACCCAAGGAATCCTTCAGCAATCCCTGTGCCTCTGGCCCTCCTGGAATCCTCCTTTATTGCTCTTTGCTCCCTTACTCATCCCCAGTCCTTCCTCCTGTCTCTTCCAGGCTTCTTGCCTTTGAGTTTCTCCAGTCCCTTCTGTCCCCTCTTCCCCCTCCTGAGGGCACCACCACAGACTTGTCCTCAAATTGAAGCCATGGAAGCACTGGAAGCTCAGTGTGAAGTGTTGAAGCCCCAGGGCCACAGGAGTGTGGGGAAGAGTGTCCCCCAAGTGCCCCAAGGCTGGCAAAGAGATGGGGAGCAGCCCTGGCCAGCAGCCAGGGTGGGCTGGGCCAAGGTGGGAGAAGGATCTTTGGGGCTTCCTTGGGCTGGTCTGTGAGTTGAAGCATGGGGAGCAGATCCTGCTGCCCTCCCAAGCTTTGGGGTGGGTGTCCTGGGCACTTCTGGCTTCTGCAGCCCCACAGGTGGGTTTTGCAGCCAGGGGCTTGCAGCAGCCCCACCACCCCCTGGCTGCTCCTGCTGGTGCCACCACGTTGCTGCCTCTTTGCCTGTTCCCTGGCTCTCCCAGATCACCCGAGTGGCTTTGTCCCCACGGCCACCTGAGTGTCCCCCTGCTGAGATTTTCCCCTTTCTCTCTCCCCAGCTGCTTCCCTGACATCCCAGCTCCAGCCAGCTATGCACAGCCCCAGCCCTCCAGCTCAGCCACCATCAGTGCTCCTCCTGCTAGCTCCATCTCCAGTGTGACCAACCCCCCTCCCAGTGCTCCCCTGCACCTCCCTGCCCCGGGCACCCAGCTCCCAGTCCGACATGGTCCCCTCCTGCCCAACCCCTGTGGACCCAGCTACGGTGCTCACCTCAACTGCAACAACAACAATGGGCTGGTGATGCCCAAGGGCTACCTGGGTGGCCACTGCCTGAACAACGTGGTCCCTCCAATCAAGTCAGAGCCCAAGGCCTCCTATGCACCCGGGTGAGTGGGGTTGAGGTGGCAGAAGGAGGGCAGAGGGTGGGATTTGGGTTGCTCCTCCAGGCTGGTGGCACCTGGAGGGTTTGGTGTGGCTTGTCAGGCTGGGTTGGGCTCTTGCTTCACAGAGGGATGGGTTGGGTTTTTTTTTTAACAAGTGTAGGTCCTGGAGTCTCCTTAGAGGTTGGTCTCCTCTGTGTGGCTGGAGCTGGGGAGGGTCAGTGACACCCCCCCTTGGCTGCAGGTGCTGGGAGAGCTGGGGATCCTGCACTTGTAGATGTGGGAGACCCTTGTGGCTCTGGGCTTCAAGAAGGAAGACACAGGAGAAATTTGAACGTGACCAAATTCAGTCTCCAGGACGTTCCCGTCGCTCTCCCAAGGGAAGGTCTTAACTAAACTGGGCAGAGAGGAACTTCACTTGACCTGATGCTCTCCAGAGAAGGCAAGGTAGATCCTGCACTCAAGAGAAGGAACAGAGACCACGGCAGAGTCCATGGCAGGCAGGGCACACCAAGAGGGGATGGTCCTGCTGGGGTAGGAGCTGGCATGAGGAAACCCTTCCTGCCTGGAGAGGGGAAGAAGATGGCTGGTCTCTTCCTCCTCAGGCACTCTCTGGTCCATGCTGCTCTCCCCCAGGCTCAGGGGAGGGACAGGAGATGAACTGAAGCTGGGCAGGTGGAAATCAAAGTGTGCAGCAGCTTCTTCCTCAGCAGGAGGCCTTGGAGCTGTGTCCTGGTCCCACCATCTCCAGAGCACAGGGTGCCCTGAAGGTCTCCCTGCTCAGCCAGTCCCTGCACCTTCCCCAGTGGAGATGATGGATGTGAGGTGGCCCCAGGGCTGCTCCTCTCTGCAGGTCTCTGGGGGGGCTCTTCTCCTTCTGCCCTGTCCCCTCTGGTGTTGGCAGCAAGCCCAGCCTGCTGGGTGCCAGGCTGGGGAGCTTCCAGCACATAGAACCAATGATCCAGCCATTGTGCAGCTCCCTTGGGGTGACTTGGACCCTTTGGATGAACTTGGAGAGATCTTCCAGAGAGAGAGAGAAGTGAAACAAAACCAGCCCTTGTTGTTTTTCCCAGGCTGGGAAGTTCTCCCTGGCTGTGTCAGGGGAATCCGTGCCCAAAAAGCCCAAAAGCATCCTGTGCTGCCTTCTCGTGGCCCTTGTGGTGTTCTCCAGGGTGGGAGAGGTCAGGAGGAGGGATCAGAGCTGGACACCTTGGTTTGGATGCAGATGAACTGGCTCAGCCTTGGTGGCAACATTTCTTCAGCATCTCAGATGACTCTGCACTCCTAGCAGGCTTTCCCAGGAGGAACAAGGTGTTGGGTACCAACAAACCCTTCCCTTGGAGTGGACACCTCCACACTGCCTCCCTGTGGGACTTGTGCAGTCCCCAGCTTTCTGTTTTTCCATCCTCCAGGATCCCCAGATTTGTCCTGGGCCCCCTTTTCATCTCAGCCACCACTTGCTTGGCTGAGGCCCAAATCCCAAGCAATCCCTAGGAAGTGGAGCATGAAGTCATGGGCAGCGTGGCAGGGAGCCTGGAAATGAGGCTGGTGGGAGATGCTCCAGGTGTAGGAGAGGGGTGGAAAGGTCCTACAGGTGCACGTGGAGGAGATGAGGCTTATTCTGCAGCCCCAAAGCTGGTGGTGTAAGATGGGAGGGAACAGAAATGGTTCCCCGTGGAAAATCCACTTGTGAGGAGGAACGAGGTGGGAAACCAGGTGTGTGTGTGTCTGGATGGAGCAGGTTCTGCTGAGGTGCCAGGCCTGTCGTTGGGCACCAGGGTGGTGGGAGTTGTGCCCTGGGCTGGAGATGCCTGAGGCTCCAGGTTCTGCTGCTGTGGGAGGGGTGGTGAGGAGAGAAAGTGGAAACTGGTTCATGGGAGTTCCCAAGGAGGTGCTTTGGAATGGCTGGTGGGTCACCTGGAGCTGAGCTACTGGTGGGTCACCTGGAGCTGAGCTACTGATGGGTCACCTGGAGCTGAGTTACTGGTGGGTCACCTGGAGCTGAGTTACTGGTGGGTCATCTGGAGCTGAGTTACTGGTGGGTTATGTGGAGCTGAGCTGCTGGTGGGTTATGTGGAGCTGAGCTGCTGGTGGGTCACCTGGAGCTGAGCTACTGGTGGGTTATGTGGAGCTGAGCTGCTGGTGGGTTATGTGGAGCTGAGCTACTGGTGGGTCACCTGGAGCTGAGCTACTGGTGGGTTATGTGGAGCTGAGCTGCTGGTGGGTCACCTGGAGCTGAGTTACTGGTGGGTTATGTGGAGCTGAGCTGCTGGTGGGTCACCTGGAGCTGAGTTACTGGTGGGTTATGTGGAGCTGAGTTACTGGTGGGTCATCTGGAGCTGAGTTACTGGTGGGTTATGTGGAGCTGAGTTACTGGTGGGTCACCTGGAGCTGAGCTGCTGGTGGGTCACCTAGAGCTGAGTTACTGACGGGTCACCTGGAGCTGAGCTACTGGTGGGTTATGTGGAGCTGAGCT